TTGATTGGTGAAGCATGCTGAGTTATAGTAAACAACATGTCTGCATCAGGACAGCCATCAAATTGTATTTACTTCTATTCATCATCAACTTTTTATAGCCAAAGCCCTTGGATTGTTTGAAACAGGTTGTTTTGAATCATGCTCAGTTGCCTCCTTGCCACCCTTAATGATATCCATTTACAAAATTCACTAAGTATATTGGGGAGGTGGGATAATGCCTTCTCTCTTCTCTCATAATGAACTCCACCTCCCTTATTAATAGCCACTCCCTTCCAGCCCCTTTCCTCTAGCAGAGGAGGCAGAAAAACAGCTGTCTTCACAGATGACATCAAATCTGTTCTCTGGCTGACTAGCAGAGAATGCTGATAATTGGAGCTGTCTGCTCCAACTCATCCAGGAAAGCAACAGCTTCTACTAGCCTGAGGCCTACACACTTGAGTCCTCCCCTGCCAGCTATCTGAATGAGCCAGGATAATGCAAGAGAGTTGAATGTGATCTTCATGCTTAAGCTAAGAGTCTAATGCATTTCTGGAAACAGAAATCAGATACGATGGACACATTTATAAAATGATTATACATCCCTTGCTCTGTCAATGCATAGCTGTATGACCTGGGCAAGTGTGTTAAACTGATTATTTTCAGAAAAGAGATTACATAAATATGGCACCTCCCTACTCAACCAATCTTCTCCCTGCTTGCTGTCAACCACACCTGCTCACTTCATGACAAAAAATATGATTTTAAATACATAATTAGCTCCTGTTATCCTATGAAGCCAACACAGCAACAGGACAGCTGGATTCTATTCTGGACTGCCCATCATGAACACACTTATTAACTAAGAGAAAGTCTCCTGTGAGTTTCATCAGTGTAAACACGGATGGCAGGTATCATAGGCTCGGGAAGGCTGTGCCTCCCCAAACAGCCAGGCATGGCCCCATCCATGCTCTGCCCCCAGACTCCCCCTCCCGCTTCCCGCTCTGTGGCTCCCCCGGTGTATTGGCCCCAGATCGGGCTGCGCCGCCCACACTCCTGGCGCTACAGGGCTGGGGAGGTTGGGGCCATGCCGCCCGCCCACCCACCCGGTGCTCTAGGGCTGGAGCCGCACCGCCACCCTTCCAGACGCTCCGGGGCTGTGGAGCCTGCGGCCACGCTGTCTTCCCTCCCAATGCTCCATGGCTGGGGAGGCTGCGGCCGTGCCGCCCACACTCCCGGCACTCCGGGGCTGGAGCCACACCACCTGCCCTCTTGGTGCTCCGGGGCTGGGGGCGCTGCTTGGGGCAGGGGCCAGCAGCCGCGATGGGGGGGCTCTGGGCTCCAGCGCGGGGAGCAGTGCTTCAGGCCGAAGGGGCCGGACTGGGAGCTAGCCTACCCCAGCCAGCGGTTCACACACCACCCATGAGTGTAAATCTAGAGTAACTTCATTAAATGTGATATATGCCATCATGTGCCAGCAATGCCCCTCTGCCATATACATGGGCCAAACCGGACAGTCTTTACGCAAAAGAATAAATGTACACAAATCAGACATCAAGAATTATAACATTCAAAAACCAGTCGGAGAACACTTCATTCTCCCTGGACACTCAATAACAGACTTAAAAGTGGCAATTCTTCAACAAAAAAAATTCAAAAACAGACTCCAATGAGAAACTGCAGAACTGGAATTAATTTGCAAACTGGACACCATCAAATTAGGACTGAATAAAGATTGGGAGTGGATGGGTCACTACAAAAACTAATTTTCCCATACTAATTTCCCCCTACTGTTACTCACACCTTCTTGTCAATTGTTTGAAACGGGCCACCCTGTTTACATTGGCCTCATTACCACTACAAAAGTGATTTTTCCTCCCTTGGTATTCTACTGTTGAGAATAGCCCACTTCCACTTTAATTGAATTGTCTCATTAGCACTGACCCCCCATCTTTTCATGTACTGTGTATGTATACCTGCCTACTGTTTTTTTCCACTCCATGCATCTGATGAAGTGGGTTTTAGCCCATGAAAGCTTATGCTCAAATAAATTTGTTAGTTTCTAAGTTGTCATAAGTACTCCTTGTTGTTTTTTCATTAAACTCAACACTAAAGAAACAGATCGACATTTGCTGCACATTTTCAAATGCAACGTATTTAACTCAGGTTACAGAGTTGTGTAACTTAACTGCATTCTAACTATACTTATCATACACCTCAGCTGCACCCAGCTTGCTGGTGATGATGTGCAAGTCAGAAAGAAAATCTCTGAGGGTTTTATCCTGAAATCTTACTTTCAGATCCTGCCTTTCAGATCACAGGTAGAATCTGAAGGGTTGGCAAAAACCCATCCATTTACCAACTGAGCACCTAGCTCAAGCCACAAACACATGAAATGCAACTTTTATTTCAGATCACTAAAAAGGAAAAAAAAATAGCTAAAACTGTGTCTCAGTTTCCCCTTCTGTCAAATGAATAATCATACTTAGCTACTTCACAGGGACTGCTGGGAAGGTGAATTAATGTTTGTTAAGTACTGAAATTCTACGATCAAAGGGACTATGGAAGTCCAAGTCTCTTTGCTTTCGCCTTCTTCCTCTCACCTTCCTCCTTCCCAACCCAACCAGATCCTTCTGTTTTCTTCTCACTTCATCCTTCCATTCCTCGGACTTCCAGCTCCTCCTCCCTGTGCAACACACTACTACTTCCCCCACAGGATCCCCAATTCCATCTTTTTTCAACCCCAAAAACCTCTTGATAATCCAACTTTTTCATGCTACCTACCAACATGCTCCATAGACTGTTGCTCATTCTCCCCCATCAAAGCCAACTACCTTTGATGGGGTCACATTATGAAAATAGAGGGTCTCAGCTCTGGAACTCTTCCTCTTAGGCATTGAGTAGCATCTCTATTCAAATTTCACATGCTCTGTGGTTCTTTCAAGCCAAAGATGTCCCAGCATAATTGCCTCCTCTCTGACTCCAAGGAAGCCCAAAACACTTGCAACCAAGTTGCTGAAAATCAAATAGTTTCTTAAATGATTAAATGCCTGGTTTAATCTAATGCAGGGGTTCTCAAACTTCATTGCACCGTGACCCCTGTCTAACAACAAAAACAACTACACAATCCCAGGAAGGGGGACCGACGCCAGAGTCCACCCGAGTCCTGCTGCCCCAAGTGGTGAGGCTCGGGCTTTGGCCCCAGCAAGTCTAATGCCAGCCCTGCAACCCCATTAAAACAGGTTCGTGACCCACTTTGGGGTCCGACCCACAGTTTGAGAACTGCTTATCTAATGTTTTATATAGTCCAGCCTGTAGACCTGACAAATATCAAAGCAAGGTAACTGTAGAGGAAACTTTTGATATTTATTAAGATCTCTGGAGAAAAAATGTCTCCCCTCAGTCTTCTACATTCAGCTGCCATGATGAAATCAGGCCCCCCAAAATAATGAGACTGTCTTAAAAATCATGAGATTTTAAAGAATGCTACATGTTGGGTTCTTTTTATTTGCATTCTGAGTTTTGAATCTTTAAGAGTCATGACTGCCTCTGCAACCCTGAGGCTAGAAACTTACTTCAAAAAAGAAAGAAAAAAGAAAGAAGGACATAATGTGAGAGTCACAATAAAATCAAGAAAGTTGGCAACACTGATGTGCTTAGAATGGGTGCACTCCAAATTTCATATCAGTTTCAGAGGTGTCACTGCTTCTAGCAGCATTCCTTGTTAAAGGTCGGGAATATCGCTGGAATCAGTAATACACCTGTACCCCGATATAACGCGACCCGATATAACACGAATTCGGATATAACGCGGTAAAGCAGCGCTCCAGGGGGGCAGGGCTGTGCACTCCGGAAGATCAAAGCAAGTTCGATATAACGCGGTTTCACCTATAACGCGGTAAGATTTTTTTGGCTCCCAAGAACAGCGTTATTTCGGGATAGAGGTGTACCTCTAAAACAAGAATGAACTTTTGAAACATATCCAGTGTACTTCCCCATTTCATAAGGCTGCTGAGGATTAATTAACTGATATTTTTTAAATGTTTTGGAGATGGAAACTGATATATAAGTGTTAAAATGCTGTTACTGGCAATAAAAAAAACTGCCTTCCCAAGTCTTGACCCTATGTCTGTAATGAAGAAAAAAAGGCCACAAAAGAAAGCTACTAAGTCATGGCCTAATAAGTTGTTAAGAGAAACACTGAGTCAGCTGTATGCATTGGCAGGAAAAAAGTATACAAAGTATTTTGGACAGAACTGAGAAATCAGTCAGCAGTTTTAGTCTTTCCTTGATCTTGCAAACTGGTATTCTTCACAAGCAGGAACCCACTGAACAAAGTAAACAACTGAACTCAACAAATATACCACACTGTATCAATGGTATATATGGTATTGAATGTATTTCTTCAAGCATTTTTATGTCTAAAGTTTAGAAAATAGCTTTAATATATAACAGCCTTTAATTCTGTACATTACCATTAATCAGGGGTATAAAGCTTTTACCATTTTTAATTTTATTTACATTGCCCCAAACTATCTCTGCAAATGAATGTAGTTCCCCTCCCTCAGAACAGATCCACAGTTCTCAAGCATGGAGCTAGTCTGGCATGGGGTGACCTTTGGTCACCAAACCACAGCCATAGAGTACATGGCCCCCTAGGACGCGAGTGTTCCAGATGGCCATATTCATTTTGGTCTCAGTAGGAAACCAATACATGCCCTGCCCATCCAACTTGCAAACATTCCCTCTGCAAACATTTACAATCCATGCATTTTGCTATCCAATCACTTTACGTGCCTTCCAGTCATACTTGTGCCTATAATATATTTCTTTTATTTGGTTCATTTTCATTACACACAGGACTCGGGCAGTAAAATAGAGTGAACCATTTTACAGCCTGCAACCCACAGCAGCACAGAAACCATAATGAATTCACAGATGTGATTACCTTCTTCTAAGTTAAAAGCATTACTTCAGAAAGGTCATTTCATAAAATGGGTTGATTTGCTGAAGAATGAACATACCTCAGCTTGTCCAACAGCCAATCCTCCAGACGAACTCTTGTCAGCCTGGTTTAAACAAAGGGTTGCTTTAATTAGTGAAATATTACCAACTGACGGGGCAAATTCCAAAAATACTTCACTACAATTAGGAAAGCTTTCCTTCTATTCATTACTACACAGCATTTAAGAAATAATATTTAACCCCTTGACAGCCATATAGGTATATCTTAAGTAAGCCCCATGCAATCTCCCCCAACTGTCTCTCACAATACCGGCTATCTTGCTGTGGAAAAATTATTGCTGCATGAGAAAGGCTTCTTGCAGATATTATTAATTACAGTTTTCAGTTTCTATTTTTATTTGTGTTTTTGGCTCCTTTACCAAAGTGTAACTTCCTAGAAAATTCTTTCTTTACAGATTTATTTTGGTGTGTTTATACAGGTTTATTTATACAGAAATTTTGACCCCCTACATTTGATCAAAAATGGGTTGCTTCATTAGAAAGGCAATAAGCACAAGAGGTTTTTTGGAAGTCTCATACTGTTTTTAATACAGTCTCATTAATTGTTCCTACCCTGTATGTAATCATCTACATCCTTACACATTGGAGAAGACCTCTGTGTTAGACTGAATGCTTGTCTCTCTCACCAACAGAAGTTTGTCCAGTAAAAGATATTACCTCACCCACCTTGTCTCTCTAATATCCTGGAACCAACATGGTTACAACTCTACAAACATATATTATATATGTCCTTTACAGCCAAATTTACAAACATAGGCACTGAAGCTCTGCATGCATATTCATTCTTATTGCATGTGCATGTGCAAACACTTGTTGGCTTGTTTTAAGATTAAGCTAAAGTATCGTTATGAAATACCATGGCTCATAGTCAATATAAACCAATCATTCCTAAATAAGGACCTTACACAGTATTAAGAGGTATTTGCTATTACTCTTATTCTGCTTTTTATCAGCTCATGGCTGTGTTTAACTGACTCATATCTTTGGTCAGAAATTATGAGTCTTTTAAATGGCAATGGGTCAGATCCTGCTCATTTTTCTTACTTGAGATGTCCCATTGACTACAATGGAACTATTTATGTGAACAAGGCTTTGACTATAGGAACCCATCTTCTTCAGTAATTCTGATCCTATGTGAGCAAGATACCTTATGAATTTTTCACTGAAATTACACCTTAGCTGAACTATTCCTTTTATAAACATTACCCTATAATTTAGTCCTGTTTTTCTATTTCCTGTCATTTATTGTAGCCATAGTTTATACTATATCTGGATGCCTTTAAAAACTAATTTTACAGCCAGCATCTTGTTGCATAACTTATGGCAAGGTTTACTTATCATCTAACCTAATGTTCTAATTTTCTACACTCTCAACCAGTTTAAATCCAACAATTTACTTTTTCTAAGGGAAGGTAAGTCCCACACACATGTCATCTCAGGAGGATGTGTATTTGGTTTTGCATTATAAGGGTCATATATTTACATCAGTTGTAAATTTGTTCTCACAAACCCCACTTTTGTAGATACAAGTGGTTACGGCCCGTATTTTGACAGTCAATGGGATTTAGGCTCCTAAATGCCTATGCCACTTTTGAAAATGAGACTAAGGATCCTAACTCACTTAGGATGCTGCTATGTTGAACCCAGCAATGCCTAAATATTTTTAAAAATCTGTGGAACATGTATGAAAAAACAGGCATTTTTGCAGACACAGGTTGAAAGGGAGCAGCTGATAACCTAGCCCTCTAATAGGGGTTTGTTGTTATTGTTTTTAATAAGTGCTTCATATGAATCTTCAGCAGCCCAAGCATCACTGAAAGGGAAATTTTGGGACCTAAGTCCTTTTCCCTGTAAATAATGTAATAAAGCCTATACGTGTCCTTTAAAAAACCCACAAAAACTGAAAATATACAGTTGTATTTCAGCTTGATATCAATTGGTAACTGTTTTATAGAATAGTTAAGCAATGTGTGTGTGACTTCTCTTAGCCCATTGGACTTTCTTCAGCTGTCAACATGTGTGTGAATACAGAGCAGGAATTACCAAGTTCCACAGAACATACTAATGCAAGTTTAATAAATAATAATTATCCCTTGTAACTCATTAAATCAGTGGTTCCCAACATTTTATAATGATGGCAAGCCATCTGTGGGGAATGACCCAGCGTCTCGAGATTTAAAAGCATGAGCCTCAAGTACTTGAGTCAAAGAACCAGGTCCAATATTTAGAAGCAATAGCTGACTCATAAACCTCTATCAGAGGTTCAGCCACTAGAGGGTGACAAAGAGCCACTCTGTGGTAGCATGAGTTAAACATCTGTAGTGAGTCTCTCTCTTAAAATGGCTTGGAGGATGGATGTTTCCTTGTGCCCATTTGCACCGTGCCCTGGCATAGCTGCCACCATTATCTTCTTTTTCTTCCCAATAAAGCCAATGCTCTACAGAAATCAGTTCATCCGACCCACAGACTTATAGCGTGAAGTGCAAATCTGGCAGCCATATTGAGCCAGCAACTCTACACAACTGTTTTTAGTAAAGGGGGAAGGGAACAGTGCCATATCTAACTAAAATTACAGGGGGTGTTGAGATAGGTAGAATGCAATTACTCATGTTGGAATATGGCCAGGATACTTGGCCTAGCACAGCAATGCTCATTAAAAGTTCTAAGGGACCTTTAATACCCAAAGAGATAGTTGCAACATTCAAAACAAAAGCCCCTCAACTACTACAGCTGAAATTTATAAGCAACACAGAAATTATTCGACTGGGACCACAGTAAAAGAAAGCTTATTCATTTTAAAACTGAGGTACTTTAATTTCTTCCTGACAACCTGTTCTGGAATCAGTTAAGGTAACAGAAATGTGGAGTGCCAGTCATTAAATTTTGCTATTTAACATCTTCAGCGTCAAATGCCCACAGTTTAACATACAGTAAATAAACAAGCTTATCAATTTTCCATTGTGGCGTGTTGTACATGAACAGTATTTCAAAGTATAGAAAATAATGTACACAGCTACGCCTTTCTGAGGGAACCACTAAGAAAAAATATGAACCAAAATCTGCAGTATCTGTTAGCTAGTAACATGCCTGTATGATACAAATTCTGAAGCACAATTCTGTGGTAAATTCCATAGCCAAGAAATTCCAGCATACAAGGAGCTCTACCTGTTTCATCAGATAATTTTAGTCAATTCTGGTTCAAACACCTGCTTGACACATGAACCATATGGGGGAAGAGGAATATAATATGCTTGTCATCCACAAATTTCAAAACCCTTAAAAGGGTAGATGAAGAAACTGATGCACAGGTGGGTTTAAGCTAAATATTTCAAATGTAAGTACCTCACGTTAGGCACCTAAATAAAATGACTGATGCTCAGAGATGCTGAGCATTCAGTGACTTCAAAGCAACTCACAGGAACTCCCATGCAATCTTACATCACTTTTCAATGCAATATGTATTCTCATTATTAATGATTTGTACTGCAGTAAAAACACTCCAAAATTGAGATTTGCACTGAGTTTAAAACTAAATAACACAAGGTATAAATCATTTTATTTTCTGTGCATATAATTCATTGAAAAAACACCTGTCTGAATTTACTCAAAGCTATCAAAATGTTACTACTATACAGAATACTGCACCAGTTTCAATTGGGAGTTAGAGGGGAGGGGCTTACTGCAGAATCGATATCCCACATACCACAGAATACATAGCACCCTGAATGCAATGAACATCTTTCAATGGTCATTTTATAGCAAACCCATGACCAGACCAGGAATTCTGCTGCTCTTTCTCTGACAGCATTTTCCTCTCTGCTTTGGAACTCGAGCTCAGCAGACAGAGAAATGCCTTCCTGCAGGCAAGAATGAACAATCTCTCCCAATTACATAGCCATGTGTGGGCTATGAGCAATTTTCCAAACATAAAAGGCAAAAGGGAATTTGCTATCCATATATTAACAAGTTAAAACATGCCACCTGCAGATGGAAGGGATCAAAGTGTCTATTTGAGTCACCTCAAAATTAATCCCCTCCAGGAATGTTTTTCTCTCACTGTGTTTCCCCCCCCCCCCCCCTCAAGAGCAGAAAGCCAAGCTCAAAGAATGCACCCAGCTTTTTTATACAAATATGATATTCCCTAATACACCACACCCTCTTCTTTCTGTAAAAGAATATGTTTTTTCTCCCCCACAGTCCCCAAACACACAATGCATCAGAGGGCTGATTTCATATTTATTGTCTATCAATCACGAAGCCATGTTTTGTTAGAAAAAGATTCATTGCAGGTTTCTGTTGGGAATGGCATTTCCATGATAGAAAGGCTTTCTTCATCACAGGACAGATCCAACTCTGGTTGCAACTTGAACATTCTTCCAGAGTGCAGAGAAGATGGATGAGTAAAATGTATTGCAACCTTTAGAACACAAAATGCAAAATGTGGAATCCTTTTTACAGATGTAAATAAAATGAGTGAATTTGATGAGGGCAAAAATGTAGGTGGTAAAAAGAAAAAATAGCCAGCCAGTATGATGTATAGACTTAATATCTATGTTCAGTGAGAAATTTACTCCTGGGCAGAGAAGACAGGGTTAAAACGTATACACCATTTAAGCCCTATGTTGAGGGTTTAAGTAGAACAGGAATGTTGCATAAGCCTTGCACTGCGTTCTCTGCAAATGGGGTGGACTTCACACGCAGTGGCCAAGCTGAAAATAATATAATAGTAATTATGATTTGGGGGGGGGAGGGTTGGAAAGATGAATCCGTTCTTTTAAACCATAGACCAAAAGCAATAGTCTTCAAAAATAGGCGTAGGCAAGTTTTTACTGTTCCCACAAACAGCCCAATTATCCTTGCACTGAAGTCAACATCAAAACTCCCATTGACCTCAGCGGAAGCAGGAAAAACAACCCATAATATACATTTTAGTAACTGGTGATGACAGGGCCAGTCCTAGGTGTTTTGTCTCCAGGACTAGGGTTGCCAGCCCTCCTGGATTGTCCTGGAGTCTCCAGGAATTAAAGATTAATCTTTAATTAAT